GCTGCAGGGAGGAAAGACCCATTTACAGATTTTTAGTGAGCTAGGATGACGCCATGGCACTCTAGCCCGGGCAACACAGTGAAACTCTGTCTCAAAAAAAAAAAAAAAAAAAATTTAAAAAGATGCTCTTGACAAAAATTATGTACACTGTGTCCCTGGCAATCGTCAAAGTATTTGTTTCAATGATTCGAGTACTTCACTTTTTAATTACACATGGCCAAATCTGGGGGGATGCTGCAGGGAGGAAAGACCCATTTACAGATTTTTATGATCCTGTCTGTCCCTAAATTTAAAAAAGACTTAGGACCGTGTGTGGTGCCTCACACCTGTAATCCTAGTACTTTGAGAGGCCAAAGCAGGAGGACTGTTTGAGCCCAGGAGTTCAAGACTAGCCTGAGCAAGAGCATCAACTCCCATACAAAAAAACCAGAAAAATTAGCCAGGCATGGTGGCATGCAGCTACTTGGAAGGCTGAGGCAGAAGATCGCTTCAGCCCAGGAATTTGAGGTTGCAGTGAGCTATGATGATGCCACTACACTCTAGCCAGGCAATGAAGTGAGACTGTCTCAAAAAAAAAAGCCCTTAGAAAATCAACAAGCTATCAGGATGCACTTAAAAATAAGAATGAGGGAGGGGGAAAGGGAACAACAAACCTCTTCCAGTTTGTCAATGATCATAGCAAAGGCTTTGAAGATGGCATTAGTGGGTCCAGCCAAAGTGATAATTCTCTCAGGACAATTCCCTTCTGAGATGTTGATACGTGCACCACTCTGGATAAAAACAGAGCCAAGAAAGGTTAAATAGACAAAAAAACATGTGAGCATGTACAGGATACATACCCCTGCTAAATAAGACATTCAAAGAAGCTGCCTACATACACAGTCCAGATACAAGGCAAAGTCAGCGTCATTTCAAACATTGCTTCATGTCTCTCCTCTAACACAGCTTATAGCAGCTGCCTTTAAGTCTTGAATGAATTCTGAGACATGTCAGAACTACATTTCCTGAAATACTACGTCATTATAAATAACCAAGGCAGAAAAATACCAGCTTCCCCTATTGAGACCTTCCTCCAACCTCTCAAACAGTTTATTTGTTTTAAAGGTTTTTCACTTCCCAAATTAACAGTCCCAAAGTCTCCCATAACTTACCTCCTCGCGCATCTTCTTAACTGATTCTCCTTTCTGTAAGAGGAAAAGTCAAGCATGAGCTCCAACTGCTATTTCGACCCAGAATGACTAAATGGTAATTAGAGTTGAAGTGAAATTGTCTTACCTTTCCAATGATACTGCCAACTTCCTACAATAGGGAAAACTAGTGTCAATAAGAGGAAACTCAGAAGTATTATTATGAAAAAGAATTTTAACTGTCCAGCTAACCAACTGTTATCTATGCTAATTACTACCCCCAAGAACAGAAAGATTTTTAAGATTTACTGAGGGGAGAGGACTTATTCTTTTCCTTGCTCAAATTTGAGTGAAGCTATCAAAGAATTATGAAGGAATAATGATGCAGGCTTAATTAAACTTTGTCTCTGTGTTTAATATAAATTATTTTTTAAAATATCAAATATATCTGGCCGGGCACGGTGGCTCACGCATCAAATATATCTTCCCTCTTTACAGTTTCCTAAAATTGTTTGAGCAGAAGAAATCTACATATCACAAGCTATAGCAACCTCCATGAGAAAAATCTTACCATTCAGGTATGAGACAGCCTTTGGCTCTAGCCACTAATGAAGACTTTCCTGCTCAGTGGAGCTTCCTAGTATAAAGTCTGTCCATTTTCCCATTACATTCACATCTACTCCATTAGGGCAGAGTGCTAAAGCCAGATGCCCCACAGTGCTAATCTGATGAGCTCCAAGATGCATGTCTGCTCTTCCTGGCCCCTCCCCCTAACAGTTACTATGACCCAATTTCACAAGCTGGCACATACCTTTCCATGCATAAGTAGCCGGATGGTGAGAGTGACATTTAATCCACCTTCAATCACACCGGTGTCCATGTCGAGCACTGTTCTGAGGAGCTGGACTTTGAGTAGTCAAGTCTTTGGTCACTGGTGGGGGTGAAAGCCAAAAACTGAAATGCAGACATGGCCAAAATCAGAGGAGAAAAAGAACAGAGGAATTATTTCGCAAAGTTATTTTCACCATTATCAGTGTTTTGTAGTTGACACTTTTCCTTAAATTACAGCCTATCAGCTTGTATACACACCCAGCACAAGTGCATAACATTTATAGCTCAGGTTCTGTTACAGAGTATAGAAGGCGACTTTCCAGTTTGCTCTCATTAATGATAGGGTTTCCGCTGACTCTCAGGATGAGGACGGTTCCTTCAATTGGCAATGATTCTAACGGAACTGCTGAACATGCACCGGTTGTCCTTCAGCAGAATAAGCTTCAAAAGGATTCAGAAACACCTGGAAATCATGAGGGCAAACCTCAAACTAACCAACTACAGTGAGGGCAAATAACCTTCTGCTTCCCTATTGGGTAGCAGTGTAAGTTGAAAGCTAGAGATAACACATGTAAATTTTCTTAGTGGTAGCAATTTCTAGTTAAAGAAATTGAGGTATCACATTACAAATTTCAAATATTGATAGATGACAGCAAAGAATTTTAAAAAGATTTAGATCAACCTCACTGAAAAAGGCATTATCTGAGATGCCTTCCATGCAGGCTGGGGTTCACGAGCCCCCTTTGGGAAATGACTCAATACATTAAGTACAATCGAGTCCTTTTCTCCTATTCCTTCTCTCAACCCAACTTGATAATTACTCAGATTTGAGAAATTTCCCATGTTTTTGTGTATGAACCTTTAACACCATTTGATTTTTACTCAAGTTTATTAAACTTTAAATTTCCTCCCAAAGAAAACAATCAAAACTGGTATTCCTAAAATTTTATTCTGTAATTGTTTTTAGCAACAGCAGTAAGGTGCCTTTGCTACCCAGGACAGCCCTTTCCCCCACTCATCCTATGAAACAATGTACCTAACATTTCTGCTTCGGAGTAACTAGTTACTTACAGGAAGAGAATTTGTTTTTGGATATGCCTTTGCCTTCAATACCTCCTCAGTACCCAATCCTGCTAGCTTTAAAAAGGTTTCGCTGATTTACCTAATGACATTTTAATATCCATCTCTTCTCCTACAGCTAGTTTTCCCTCTTCACAAAACCAGTCACCATTTTAACTCTGCTCTAACACAAGCCCATATACTTAAGTATTTTAAGTGTTTAAGTGGTTGCCACACTATTCTGTATATAGCAAACACTGTCCTCTGGCTACCTCAAGAATTTAAGTGATTATAAGAGATTATGTAAGTGCATCCCCAAAGCACATCATTTTCCTATTTTCAGAATACAATTAATTACTGGCAAAATCCCAGAATTGAACACTTTTCACTTATGGAAAAATAGTGCTCGGTGGAGGGAGAGCATTATGTCTGCCAGAATGACTTTCTTTTTTTTT